ATTGGGCTTTCGTGTACTGTGGACTAGGGCTGAGCAGAACAGGTGCGACTGTCAGAGAACCTGAGGCCACCCACTGGGGGCTTCTGCAAGAGACAACAGAAGCGCTTCTGCATAATGGGCACGAAAAGTATGACCCAGGTCAATAGTTCAGACAAGGGCGGCTAAAGCGTTCATTCAGCACGATTCTTATTTGGAGCCTCAACTCCCTGATCCTGAACAAAAGCACTCTACAAAGAGTCCATGCATGTAGCAGCTTGGGAGGCTGTGTGCATATGCTGCTCCCACGGGCTCCACAGCAGAATTACGGAAAACAAAAGAGAAAAAAAATGGGTGAAGAGGAGGGGGAGTCGAACCCGGCGCAGGTGGCACTCGAAGCGCTCGAGGTACCAGGAGCCGAGGTCGATGCGGTACTGGAACGCCTCCAACGCCTCCTCCAACCTCCCCAGGCTGTGCAGCAGCCTCGGAATATATTTATTTCTCAAACACTTCACTTAGGGTTGTAGCTTTTGGGGGTTAGAAATTAGGGTTTAGGGTGAAGGGACCTTCACAGTAATTGTTTTTCTTCCTGTATGCAATGGTGGAATAAGGGTTTCATGCAAAATAATTCCCTTGTTAGGGGGTTACAGAGCAAGGTGTTTGAGAAGGGATTCCTGCCTGTGCAGCGTGGTGCCCAGGAAGAAGGCCATGCGTGTGCAATTGGGCTCCTTCTTCAGGTATGCCCGCATCGTCGGCAGGTCGTACTGCGGCAGCAATAAGAGATGTTAGCATGGCAGCCAAGCAGTGAACAAGGGTCAGAAAATGTATACACGTCCAGCACGAGAGGTTTTGGAGTGCTGGCAAGTCGGTATCATGCAGCATATAGTGAGGGTCTCCATGAGAAATGGCGCCCAGGAAAAAAAGACAAACAATCTCCTGATAACACATGAGTCAGAAAGACCTCCATGCATCAGAGGCATCGTAGCCCAAACTTCCCTCCCTTGAAGTGCCCAAGCCGCCGCGTAGCAATGACTCACCGGCTCACCGTACAGTACAACACATTGTCATGCCCATGACTGCCTTGAAACTTCCTGAAAATCCCCCCAACAACTGGTCAGCAAATGCAGAAGTTGTACCTCCGCTTCGCGGCGCTGAGATCGGCCATCGGTGTGCAGCGCGACTGTGAGGTTGGCCGTCGGCAGCACGATGTGCCGCGGGTCCGTGTTGTGCTCCGGCAGCTGCGCACACAACAGGGGTCAGCGCTAAATATCTCAGGGTTTAGGATCACCCTTAGGTTCACCCTTAACCCTAATTGTTGGGGATGAATTGTTCAGGTTGGAGAACACACGTCAATGTGCCATGTTAACGAGGGACGGCTGCGCCCGAATGATTTCCACCGAGCAACTTGATGTTGTCAATGAGGCCGGCACACCACTGGATGGCCCGCTAGACTACTCCAAGTCTGAGGAAGGTTACCTGCAGCTTGGCCCGTTGGGTCACTGAAGCACCGTTGACAGAGCTAGAAAAAGACTCACAGGACAGATACGATCCGCGCTGCACAGCAGTAGCAAGCAGCGAGTCCCAGGATCGGCAGAGACTTTCGGTTCTGCATTTAACACTAGAAACTCTGGCCAACGAGCGGGCGGCCGCGCACCTCCATGACAGGATAGAGGTAGTACCAGCCGTCCTGGGTGCCGATGTGATGTGTGGGGAACACTCGCGTCGTCTCAAAGTAGTTCTTGTCATACAGCGCCTGCGCAGTGAATTTCAGATTCACATTCAGGTCCAGCGTTTAGAAGATAGACCCCATGGATTCTCAAAAAAATCGCTGCACCCTTAAAAACCTGTAGAAAACCAGCCATGTGTCCATGAACATTGCAGCCCTACGTGGTCCATGCAATGCCATACCATTAACCCTATATTATATATTATAATATATACAATATTATCTTATATGTATAATAAATAAAAAAGATGTGAAGGCGCACGTGGATTTCAAACGCGCCGTTGCAGAAAAGCGCCGAGACCTTGCTGCAGTACGCCACCAGCCTAAACCCTAAATATATACATGAAGCAGCCTACACCCTAAAAATATATATTTGTATATAAAGGGGCACAGGAAAAGGGAAAGGGAAGGCGCACATGGATTTTGAAGGCCCCGTTGCAGAAGAGCGCCCAGACCTCGCCGCAGTATGCCACCAGCCGCTGCAGGTGCACGCGCAGGCGCCACGCGTTGTGATACTCCATGTCGGCGTCGAGCATGCACGAGTACTTTGTTCGGTTGCCGTGCAGCTGCGAGGCAATTCGCACAAAGTAGTTAGGGAGCGTCCTCTCGCTTTCAGTTAGATAGGAGCGTCGCATCAGTGTCAATGACTGACAAGAGAGCGCATGTGCCTCCCTCCATGTCGATTTCATGTCAGCGTCCATCATGCACGAGTACTTTGTTCGGTTGCCGTGCAGCTGCGATAGGCATTTCGCACGAAGAAATCAGGGAGTCCTTCTATACTTTCAATGATCGACAACAAATCACTTTCACGACAACTGCATCAGGAGATTTGCACAGGCGAGTAGTACTGAGTAGTATTTTAACATCCCTTTGTATTGACGGGATGTTAAAATATACAATCTAGCCCAAATCCTAACATAATTACAGATGTACAGTGATGACATCAGTCTCAGGTGCGCCACACTGAGCATGTGAATGCCTCAAGAAGCTGTGGTGAAGCTTGGTTAATGCCCACAGCAACTCACAAAGTCTCGATTCTGCAAGCATCCTGTGGCAAATGTAAATTCGCCTGAAGTTCATGCCTCAAGGAAAAGGTGGGAGACAACGTGGTTCGGGCTGCAGCAGCCGCGTAAAAAACCGCAGAAAGAGTTTGTGATGCGTAGAAACCGCAGAAAGAGTTTCTGGTTCGGACCTGAAGCGCCTGGTTGCGCACAGTAGAGAAGTCTGTGAACTGGGTCAGGTGTATCTCTCCCGGCACCTCCGCCATCAGCTCCGCCACCTGTGCCATATTCACAACTCCACCTCGTCAGAGAGCCGAGTTGCTTTGAGGGTGTACATTCTGTATATAATTACTTTATATTAGTTAGATTTAAAGGATACTGATGCAGAGGGCTGGTTCTGGGATTCAATTCTTGCCCCCTGACTTGCTTACCAAGGTGCTCCTGTGATGCTTCCACCAGTCTCTGTGCGCCCCACTCTTATTAATTCTGTCCCTCTGAACTTGGAAGCTGTAAACCCTTCAACCCTCGATTAATACAACCCCAAACCCTACAAAGCCCTCAAAATATGATAAATGTGGTAGATTGAAAGGTGCACTTCGCGCCTCACCGTCGCTACTGTGGTGTCGTTGGAGCCGGTGTCGAGGACGAGGTATGAGTCGATGTGATCGCGCATCGCGATCAGCGTCGAATTAATCCTGCGCAGCACCACATCACTCAATTTCTCCATGACTTCTTTTTGGGAAAATGAGGTTTAGGGCGAACCCTCAACCTAGGGGGCAACTCATGCAGCATGACGATTAACTCCTTGAAGCCTGTTGCCAGTAAAAAGGGTGCATGCACCACGGGTGGTGCAGTGGAGGGTGTATAGGGTATACGGGAATGGGTGTGTTTATTTTTTTAGGGTTTAGAGTTCCGATGGATACCTGTCGGACTCATTCTTGGTGATGATGACAAGCCCCAGGATGTTTTCGCCCCGTTTATACCGGGGCTCCGACTGCTCTGCAATGATGGCCTGCAACAGGATGCGCTAAATTTTAGGATTTAGGGTCATATAGGTCGACTTTCATCTCTCGAATGGCTAGCGTAAGGAAGCTGCTTCGAGGCGGACCCGGATGAAAAAATCGCCGAGGGTAAATCCCAGATGAGATATGCGCCAGGGGGCAAAATACACTGCGTTTTTCCTGTACGGTATTTTGTTACTTAGGGTTTAGGATCAATAAAAATTGACCCTTAAACCAAATTTGATTGTCTTCATGGCAAGCACCAAATAAGACTGAACATGCAACAAAGCCTCAAGCGCATTGGCAGATTCCAACACCCCTAGTAAGTGCGTAGCTGAGAGGCCCAGGCATGCAAGCATAGCATCCCTCCCAAAACTCTTTCATCAGTCATGCCTTACAGCACGTCAGTATTTATTTTGTTTTTCTCTGAGGGTTTAGGGTATGAACCCTAATCCCAAACCCTAAAAATAACTCATACAAAAGTGCAGAAGTGCATGTGGTGGACCAGCTTCCGCCAGGCCGGCAGCTTCACGTTGTCAAGCAGCTTCCGCGCTGTGGGAAGCTGCACGATGTGCGCCGCCTTCTGGAAGCTGGGGATCAGCTGCACGTCTGGTGTCTCCGCAAAGCCGATCGCGATGATCGCCGGCCGCTCCATGACCGGGTCGAATGCATCCAGAGCGCCACCCGATATGTCTGCACCGCACCGAGCAGATGTTATAAGATCTTCGCACCGCAAGATGTGTACGCACCGCAGCGAGCAGATGTCCAATAAGATTTTCGAGTTTTGGTTTTTATTTTAGGGGTTTTGAGGGTTTTGGAACCCGATCGCGATGATCATTGGCCGCTCCATGACCGGGTCAAACGCGTCCAGCGCGCCCCCCGGTACGTCTGTACCATATGTTTTTCATGTTATTCGTAGGGCTTCAGGGTTTAAGGTTTATATGTTTCCTTATTTTTTTGTTGTATTCTAAGTATGCCAACCAAGTCACATGGGAATGTGAACCAGATCTGCAATAGTGTACTGGTCAGTATCCCCGCCTTGCGAAGGGATCCTTTGTACGGTGAAGCCCTTCAGGCAGGGACGCCACTGCAGAAAGGCCGACCCATATACAGCCGGCCCAATTTATCAATACGGCATCCTGTGACCACTCGTGTTCCTTGTTCAAACCCTAAACCCTAAACCTTAAAAAAATATAGTCCAGCCCCTCGGGCAGGGCCGCGTCACCAGCAGGAAGACCATGATGGGGTTTGGATCAGACTGCTATGACTGACAAAAATTCAAGATTATTAATCCAGTCTGCGATAGTATAATGGTTCAGTATTCCCGCCTGTCACGCGGACGATCCGGGTTCGATTCCCGATCGCAGAGCTTTGACTTTTGGCCATTTGGCTTTGGGTTTGCCGACCAGTAACAATGATGATATGTTTTTTTTTTTTGATTTAGGGTACGGGATTACCCAAAATCCTATATCTTAAACCCTAACAATATTTTAAAAACCCTGCACCACACCGAGCAGACGTCCAATAAAGACACATGCCGCCATGATCGGTACACTGCCAGCTGCTGAGCTCCAATCTATCTATGTGCTGACAAGCTAGAAAAATTTTCCCGGCACATGCTGTGGGCTGCAGAAAGATATGCATGAAGGGCCTGAAGACCTGGGTCAAGCTCATTAGCATCATGCCATTCTCGTCGGCAAAGCGGTGATCCCCACATGTTCTAGCACACCATCCCACTGAGTGACCTGAGATGAAGAGGAGCAGCATCACGCTGCAGGGGATTACCCGGGCCTGGGGAATTGTGTTTTTCCTTTTTAGGGTTTGGGGTTAAATATAGGGTTAAAAAATATAACAAAAAATACAGCACCTGCCATGAAGCGCACGACAGGGACCCCAGCGCGCGCAGCATAGTCCGCCACAGCACACGCCGCCTTCCCCTGACTCACGATTATGTCATAGCGCTGCATGCACCATCACCCCTTCAGAACATTGAGCTTTTACAGCGCTCACCCCCTGTATCGTCCTGTCCTGCCCTGGCTGGACGTAAAAGTCAATGTTGCATTCATCGTGGGTCCTTCACTAGACGCACACCCATGCAGCTGAATCTTGCACCTTGTCACTAGTGCTCCCTCTTGCTTTTGTTTCAAATAGCAGCTTGCAACACAGAGATGCTAGAAGTCCATAGAATCAAGGCCACCTCAACTCGCGGCAGGCATTCGCTCTAGCCAGCATCACACCCCCGCATGACATGACATCAGCGCAACCGGGATGCTGACATCACCTCCAGGCTGGTCCACAGCTCCTCGTCGCGCGTGCTGTTGCTAGCCGCTGCCAGAAACGGCCCCGGATCCATTTGCACCACCTATCACCCATTACCACTTCCTCTTGAATCAGTCCCCTGACACGCCGCTGTTGGAAGTTTCAATCGTGTCATTCTCAGGGTCTTTAGCAAAGTTGTTCTGTCCATTCTCAGACCGACGTTTGTAAACATCCCATATCTAGCTCGATGACCTCTGATATTTTTGTATGATTTATTTCTTAGAGGGGTCGGAATTTTTTCCCTTTACCTTGAATCCCTCGCGCGTCAGCATCTTGGACACTATCCCCAAGTCATGGTACCGCGCATCCCTCGCCGCTATCTCATCCGGCAGCACGAGTACCATCTTCTGCGGAGAGCACATCAAGGTCAACTCAGTCGATAAACAGCTAATGAGCTGCAAGAAGAAGAAAATCGAATAAAGTGTTTGGGGTTTAGGGTTGAGCCTTCAAACCCTAAAAATATACTTTTAAAAAATACCAAAAAAATATTTAATTCCTGCAAGGCCCCACTGCATTGACAAGGCTTCAAGCGCTGGCTGTGGGGGCCTATCTCTCAAGGCGACAAGAACAGCACAGGTTTTAAAAAACAGCAATCATGTAAATTTATTCCCGCACACATGCATGCCGGTGCATTGCTGCGCAAACTTGGCATCGAAGAACAGTGCATGCATGCCCGTTCACACACCAGCAAGGTTTGGGCTGTAGAGGGTTACCCGAGAATTGTTTCTGTGGTGCTGCAGCACGGCCCATCTGAGCACCAAGGCTAGGAAAAGTGCCAGAGCGAGCTTCAATCGTTTGTTCTGGCGGACGTGCGTGAAGAGCTGCGTCCAAAAGACCCATCTCTGTCGCCTCCTGCCCAGGACTATCAGGGTGGGAACATCAGGCAGCTCTGCTTGGCCAGCCCTTTCTTTCACTCGATATCGTGGAGGCATATGTGACCCTGCTGAAAAAATGTCGTTTTTCATCGCAATCTATCTCGGGTGTTTAACCCCTGTGCAAAACCTCAAGATGCATTTAGCACCAGAAGCTGTCAGGTTCACAGCAGGTGTTACGTTGGCAGGAAAGAAAGACATTGCTTGTCTTCTTGTTGCATGAAAGGATTTGATAGGGGAATAAAAATCACCGTCGCTGGGTCATTTTGTTGGGATCAGAGCTGATGGCGGCATTTGCTGCGAAAGCAACATGACACACAAAAAGCCGCTCTATGGGGTTGGCTATCTAACTGTAGTTTATCAAGAATTTTTCTCCTTTTGGTAGCAGATTCAATGTACCAAAGACCAGTCAAAGGAACAAGATGGGCCACGGGACTGTGTCGCTCCAGGTGCCTTCCAGATGTCATCGACGAAATCAATCGGCCATAACACCGATTCAGAGGAACTAGCGACCTGAGCACTTTTATTTGAGGAGAAAGTGAGTAGTATGTTGCGTTCAAGTAGACAGGAAGAGAGGGTACAGACTGTACGGTAAAGTTCACTGAACCCTATTTATTATAAGAATCCCTTGTAATTCCCTTGAGAGAAATAGGGCTGCCCAGCCTTCCAAAGTTGAAGTAAACAGAAGCAGGGACCCATTACTCTCGCTTGCTTAGACACCGTCCCACCTCGAGACAGGTGTCAACACCTTTTTGCAGGCTTTGGCAGATGATGCATGAGATGAAAAGTGTGCTGCTTCGGCAATGAGTGGGAGCTTGCTTCGGAGTCCTGGCTGTCTTGTTTACTTTGCCCTTGTCGTTTGTTATGTGGCTATTCTAGCAAACAGCGGCTGTGAAGCACAGTTTTTGATCGACAACGGGGGTGGCCTGGGAGTCCTTCCGCCTGGTCTACGCCTGTCCCAGACATTGCAACAGGTGCGTGCAATGTCTGTCTGCTCTGTAATACCAGGCCTGCCGTCAGAAAGAGCTGTTCACATTTAATCTCAGACATGCCAGGCTAAGTTACCCATGATGATCGGTACGTTAACCAGTCGTTCAACATTACGTGATATCGCACCCTATCAAGCTTGTTTGCTTGACTTCAGCATGTGAGTTTGTATGGTAGTCAACATCTGTCCGGCCCACATACTCGCCAGTCTGGCTTCGGAAATGATTTGCAGGCTTTAGACTTTATGGAATCAGTACAATAAAGCCACGTGTCAGGGCTTGAAGAGCAATTGAAGATTGCTCTTATGACGACCATATCACCCATAGTCTTTGAACATTTATTGTGCACTGTAGCACTTGGGCACAAAAGCAGACCTATAGGAGCAGCATAACGCCTTTCGAGTGCTGACACGTGGGTGCCATGCAGTTTCATGCTTGCCTTGGAAAGGACATCCCTGTTTGCTGGCATATGTGCCAGTGCACCCGGCACAGGCAAGGCTCAGCAATGAAAGTATGGCTGTGCTTCTGGGCTGTCTTGTTACACAAACCTTGCACACTGACCAGTGCCTCTTCTCACGGGCACAGGGAGGTTTCGGGCTGCCCCGACCAGCCATCTTCGGCGGCCGCAGCTTCGAAACTCTCAGCGCTCCATCCACACCCGACGAAGTGGCAGCGGACACAGCCGCGAGCCCTGACGCGGCCGAGCAGCAGCCTGATTTGGCCGCAGGCCCCCCGCCCCCACCCGCGGCAAAAGTCCCCCCGCCGCCACCGCCGGCCCCCCTCTCGGCGGCCACCAGGTGCGAACACCCCTACAAACAAAAATAGGCTTTTGTAAGAAGGCATGGAGGATTCCAATCAGCACTTTGCTGCAATGTTGTGGGTGTTTAATCACAATCTTTCGTAAAGAATAGGTGGACGCACTCCAACCCCCAATATCAGGCTGGTGTAGGAACTCCTTGATGACATATGGTCAGAAACAGTGCCGAGCTGAGTTGCATATGACCTGCTGATCAAGCGTTTCACCTCTGCCGCAAGCAGACGGCGCAACGGTTATGTAAACACCACCACATCGAGCGCGGCTGCTCCCGCGCCCGGGCCGGAAAGCGCGCCGGCCGCCGCCCCCGGGCTTCTTGCCGCGGGCAACACAACGGCGGTGTCCTTCTCGGAGCTCATTGCCTCCGCTGCTCTCGCGCCCGCTCCACGTGAGACCTCACTTTTCGCCCCTGTTTGCATTTTAATTACGAGAGATTGCCTCAGTTCAGCACCACTCTATGTTGTTGCTCTGCTCTAGCTGGCCGCATGCGTGCTCCAAAGATAGGACTCACTTTAGCCTAAAGAACAAGATGTGCTTGTTGGTGGGCAAATCATTCGTGCTGAGCTCACTGAGTCATCCAAAATCTTGCCCCAGGATCACAATGCCTGATATCTTCCATGTCTGCTATATTTTAGGGTTTAGGGTTTATATATACCCTAAACCCTTACATACAGATATATGAAGCAAGCCAAGTGGGCTGGTTGTGTGCAGATGGCGTCGCGCCGCTGTTGGCGCCCGGGCCGCAGCCGGCCACCAACGCCAGCTCAGCGACAGCTCAGCCGACACAGATGACGGATCTGCTGGCGCCGGCGCCGGCCGGCGCGCAGGGCCCCCCGGCCGCAGCCGCACCGCAGGGTCCCCCCAGCGGTGGCAGCAGAGGGGACCCCCAGACCGAGCCCCAGAGCGGCCGCTCTGAATCGGGCACCTGCGAAGCGCAGGGCCTCAGTGGGCAGTGCAAGTGCGAACTCAACACCTTGATCAGAGTCCTCGATCCCTTTGAATGAGTGGGAGACATCTCCTTGCTTCCCAAAATTTTCCCGAAGGGCTTGTATGGAAAGCAATGCACCCCACTGTCAACAAGAAAAATCCAAGAAATGGACGTGCGGTGCTGCTCAAATCAGGAGAAGTCCTTAATGTTGAGGGGTGAAGCATGGCATATCCTTGAGTTCCTGGCATCCCGAGGGTCCGGAAGCCTGCCAATACACCCTCCTGGCGCTCTTACACCTGTCAGCTTTGTTGCTGCACTGCCTAACATTGCCATGACACTGTCAAATAATGCCAGGCTGGACCCTAAACCCTAATCTGATGAGTCAGCAACTGAGGGTGCTGAGGGTTGCGCTGCAGTCAGTGCGTGTGCTGCTGCATCCCGAAGGGCGGT